CTTTAAATTGTTCTGTCAGGAAACTTATTTAAGGTAAAATTGTTGCTTAATGGTCGCAAATCCACAGACCACTGACAGCTGGGTGGGTAATTGGGAGTTAAATGCATGAGATGGTAACCGGAGGATCCTGTTAACTGATACCTCATGGACCAAATTAAGATAAACTTTCCCTTCAAAAAATGATCTGAGCCCCGGCTTCCCAAGAGATAAGACAAAGAGTTACTCAAGAAAATGACCAGCGTGAAACAGCTGGCACTACTAATTATTGTAACTCAGCACCCACGCTGTTGGACAAATCATATTGATGAATTTATTTTTATGGGTAAATAAAGGAAAACTAGAACACTGAATGCAAAATGGCCTTAAGAAAATGCAGTGAAACAAAGAAATCTTGTTAAATTATGAAGCCTGGATGCAGTGCTAGATGTGGGGGAAAAAAGAAAAGAAAATTCTTACATCATGGTCTGCACGATAATCTTTAATATGTTTTTTGGCAGTTGCTTGTCTCTGAGAACTCTGGGATTTTCATGGTGCTTTCAACAAGACCACAGTGCAAGATCAGAGCAATAACCTTTTTAATTGCCATCATACTGCAATGCCAGTGCTGGTCATAAACATGCAAGATCATTAAATGGTCAAGGAAGACTTTGTGTCAGATAAGAATTGCTCTCCCCTCACAACAGATCTACACAACTGTCTTCACAATGAATCCTTTTTTCTATCAAACTCTTAACGCTTCTTGCACATCATTCAAAAAGTCCCTCATAGCTAAAAATAAAGGCGCTTGAGTTTGATCATAGAGTGCCCAGTATCCAGTCATTTTCATAGAGAATCTTGTTATACCCAGAATGCAAAGAAAGTTGCTTCATTTTTTAAAAACAAAGACAATAATCTGATTTTTAGTCCAAGTGCTCTCTCTCTACCATACATGGCTGAGGTCTTATACAGGATTGTTTAAGTATATCCACCACAACTCGCACATATGCAAGTGCATTGGGTGGTCAAACTGTGGTTGTGTTGGACAATAATTCTGACATAAAATTCACCATGGTGGGAATCAATATCAATTTCATTGTGATATATGGTTGATCTGGCCTGTAGATTTTCAACCTGGTCTCAAGAGAAAACAGCTATAAATTGATGATTTATAATATGACTTGAATATATATGAATTTAATATGAATTCCCAATTTTTTTATTTGAATGACAACATACAATTTAAAAAGCAAGCTTCATGACGCTTCTCCCCTAAATCTATCCCTCAGTGGGGCGTAGGCAATTGAATTCATGAATTCATACAAATTCACCACTAATTTCCTAAAACATTAACCTATGAACAGTCATAATAGTGTGTCTTGTATCACTCTGTGATCTCTCTCTTCTCATACACAATTAAGAATAGGTCATGCAGCGCTTTAGCCTGGTAATACCAGACTCTGCTACTTCACTTTGCTTCGTAGACAGAGTCTGGAATGGCATAATAGAGAAGTGTTTTCTTTCTCGCAAGGGGGCGCTTCTCTGAAGTTTAAAATCATTGGTTACCCGTAAGCCAATCAGATAAGTTTATTTATGACCTATGTTATGCGCCGACACGGCCGCATCGAGACATTATGCATCGAACTCAAATCTATGATCGAACTTCCACTGTAAACAGGAAGCGGCGCTTTTGTAAGGGCTGCAAAATGTGTGCCAACTGGGAATGAACAATTCACAAACTAGGTTATTTATATGAATTACTGAGTTGCGGCCGCCCCGCAACATCGGCGTGCCCACTGCCCCGCTCTCACGAGTCATGACTGATTTAGCTTCCGCAGCGCCGCGAGGACGAGCCGCTGCTCTCGCGAGTCATGAATAGGAAGTTCATTTTTTACTGATTTTCTGAGTCATTCGAGTCATTTCGTTTATTTAAGTGGCTTAATGTTATAATTTTAACAGCCAAATTCCCAGATCACATCCACCAACGCAATGTTGATCATATTCTGAATTAAGATATCATAATGCAGTAAAAAATGATTTACAGGGAACATAAATAATCACTTTACCTTCCGAGTCTTACGTTCATTTGTCACGTGACATACGCAATGAACAGATCGTTCATGAATCACATATCTGGGACTAATGCAGCAGGATGTCGAAACGAAATATGGTGGATTATTATTATGATAATAACAATATGATAATAAGAGCGCACCAGGAGCGTTCACAGCCGAGGAGACCGACTTTCTTGTCATGGCCGTAAAAGACGAAGAACTGTTGAATGGGGGTAAGTTATGTCCTTAGTTATGCATATAGTTATGGCCAAACAGGTCTGATCCATCATTACTACAATTATTAGCCTGAAAAAATTGGGTAGACTAAATGCCTAAGCTTGAAGTGTTAATATTTTTGTGCACGCGCCGGTCCTAGCTGTAAACACTGATGATGCGAGCGAAATACCGGAGTGAACATGGCTGTAAACGACCTTTGCTTCAGTTTGAAAAACCCCGGAATGTTCTCCATAACAGAGCGAATTGCATCCCGTGTCTTGTTTCCCATTTCTGCGGTTGTTTCGGTTTTCGATTTCTCTAACCTACAATGTACACTTGGCGCTTAGTGTCTACGTCACGGCTCTCAGCCCGCCTTCTGTTCATTGATTGGCCGGCTGTTTTCAGGCCGGTGGAAAACTGAAAGATAGGCCGCTATCTCAGACTGACTACAGAAGCGAAATGAAATTAGAGGAAGTAGGAAGTCTGACGTAGTCAGGCTAGCAGCGCTTACCAACAGTTAAAATTTGGTTGACAGATGACTAGAAGCTCAGTCTAGAGTTTAGAAAGAAAACAAAAGAGCAAGGAACAGGTAACAGACACAAAGAGCTAGATAAGAGAGAATAAAAAATAGAGAAAGACAAGTAATTTGGATTGCAGATTAATAAAAAAAATTGAATACTATATAAATTATTATTGTAAGTCTTGTTATAATAATTTCCACATGATTGAGCAAAACTGGCATCCTGTCTGAACAAGGCCCTTAGAATCATTTCTGTCTTTGTTAATGTCAAGTTTTCATAATCAAGACATTTTTGTCTTTGTTAATGTCAAGTTGTCATAACAAAGACATTTTAAACAATGCCAACTTTGCATTAAAAGTGTCATAATTTACCGAATGACACTTAATGACAGTCATAAACATTTATAAAGACTCCTTCATGTTCATCTATAATTACATTTTTGACCCTTCCCTTAAACCTAACCATGCCACCTAACTTACCTAAACCTTACCCGTATCCCACCTCATTAGCAGCAAGTGTATTGCAAAACAGCACGAACAGAATACACCTGTGTCATTTTTCTTTCATGTAAGTACATCTTAAAAAGATATCTAATATACTGTAAAATGTGACCCACTTAATTTTTAATTGTAGTGCACTACTTATTCTGTTTTTTTTTTAAATAATAATAAATGTTGACCGCCAGGATTCTTTTTTTTTTTTTTTACCAAAATCTTGTAGTTTATTTTATACTAAATTTTATATTTAAGTGCAAATGTACCGATGAATCATAATGTCTGTTTGAAAAGGTTTGCGCACAGGCTTTACATACAAATATGAGCTATGGGTCAAACAGAACTCTGAATTGAACATTGAGAATGCAAAAAGAATGATAATGTAATTAGTATTTATGCATGCACATAATTTTAATGGATTTACATTGAGCCACGCATGCAGGTGCAGACCTCACATCACAGCAGATGTGCATGGGTCCAAACTCTCCGCTGGTTAGCATATCCCTAAATGTTGGTCTAATCCCTGGCAAAGCAGTAGCAGAGCAACCTCTGGCAGTCAGGAAGTGACAGCCCGTTCTCATCCCAAGACGTCATATAACTGACACTTTTGATCATACGTCAACATCTGACGTTTTAGAGTACCCTTTAACGTCGCTTAGATCAGTGTTTCCCAACCCTGTTCCTGGCGGCACACCAACACTGCGTGTTTTCTTTGTCTTCCTAATCAAACACACCCGATTCAACCCATCAGCTCATTAACCCACCTGATTATGAGCTGATGGGTTGAATCAGGTGTGTTTGATAAGGGAGACAAAGAATACACGCAGTGTTGGTGTGCCGCCAGGAACAGGGTTGGGAAACACTGGCTTAGATGACGCTATCTAATCCTAACCCTTCCCCTGACCTAAACCTACCCGCGTCATCTAACTGACGTTAAAGGTGAAGCGTCAGTTGGATGACGCCCTAGGATCGTCATCTAACTGACGTTAAAGGGTACCCTAAAACGTTGGATGTTGACGTATGGTCAAAAACGTCAGTTATATGACGTCTTGGGATGAGAATGTGTTGGAAGTGACCTGTGCCTCTCACGGTAGATAGCACGCCATTAAATGATGCATACCAACAAGCAAGCAGCACAAGTTTAAAATGTATCCCAGTTTTACCTTTGTGGTTACTAACGGTTATGCATGGCTGACTAGGCTCTGGTCCTTCTGGGAGGGTGTGGCAGGCCACAGGCAGGCCCCTCTCCTGTAGGACTGTCCAGCAGCTATCGAGCAGCACCTCACAGAATGTCCTGCAGGGTAGCAGGACTAACCCAGAATTTTCAGAGGGCTGATGGCATCTTGGTGCCAGTAGTAGGCAAAAAAACCATTCCAAACCATGGTGGCAGCCTGAACGCAGGAGCCAATCCCATTCATTCAATACAGCTACCACATCCTCTGCACGAGTGTGGTTAAAAAAATTAGGTAGAGAAAATTTTACTTCACCATGAGATATACAGAAAGGCCAGTCAGAGCCTCTTGGTAAGCAGTTTGTGGAATCCTTAGGGAAAGTGGTGGTGCTAATTATGCTAATCCTGCTGTCAGTAACCCACGTCCCTTTATGGTTGGTTGTTTTTATGCCTTCCAGAGACAAATCCAAAGTGGGCCCTGAGCCTAACCCAGACCCTCTGGCATCACCTGAGGAACCTTTGACATTTATTTCATGTTTGACTTTCTCTGATAAATACTTATCATTACCCCTTTTCGAATGGCCATCCTTCGAAGAGATATCAGGTATCCAGGTGACAGCACTATTCCATTTCACAGTTGGGTCCTCGTCCCAGTTCTGCACAAATCCTTGAATCCCTCTGGCTACATCTATGATATCTGAACCTACATCACCAATGTCCTTGTCCTCACTGGTCATTCCACTGTCAGAACTGTCTTTGTCCACTGTGGGGCCATCTGTGACACCTTGACTGGTCCACCAAAAGGCATTAAGAGGACCCATGTCCAGAATCAACAGGAGAGTCAAGCCCCAGCTGAACCTCATCTTTGCACATACACTAGTTCTTCCGCTGCATAAGTCATTCAGAATATGCTATCAGGTGTGTCTTGCAAAAGGAGCCAAAGCAATACTGCAATGCAAAATGTGCTATCCTTTCCTTTTCTTAGCTCATTGTGATGGAGGGAGAGAGAGACAGAGGGTGTGTTCTTTTTAATAGCTGAACCTCATTGGCCACTTCTACTTGCCCACCAAAATGTGAGTAACACTCAATATCCTTTTGTGTCCCAATGGACAACACTCCAACAGATGTGCAGCCCATGTGCTGCTCAGTTTTACTAATGCTCCTCTTTTGTGAATAGAATCAATGTGTGGAGTGTGCTTGTTTGCTTTTAACTTACCTAATTTGGTTACTTTTTAGCTTTCATGAATGATTGTTTGAATGGTTACCATGTGCACATAACTTTTTAAATTATAATATGAATAAGTATAATTAATTTGAATAATACAAAAACTATCATATGCTGTCTCCATTTATGCATTTTTTATTTAAAAGAAGACATTTATAAGAATGTTGTGGTCTAAACAACATTAGATCTTTTTGACTTTCAGTGTATGAACATTATCCTTTAAAATTTGTGTGACAACAATAACACCCAAACTAAATTACTTTCAGTACTGTCCAAATATCAATCTGTATGGTCTTCAGTCATTTTTAAAATGTTTTAATACTGTTTATTCCTAAATTTCAGCTGCACAAAATAGTACTGCTGTTATTTAAGGGGAAATCCAAGCAAATGTTACAAACAGCATTTCTTCTCAGTCCCCCAATGGTTGTACTCAGAGCTCATAGTGCATCTATTCATGCCAACAGGGCTTTTTGGCGTGGGTCTGAGTGACAGACACACAACAGCTGACAGCATATCTGATCTGGTGGATGCATCAGCCTACGTATGTGTGGAAACCCATAACCTCATCTTTGTGAAAGGCAGTTTTCCCACATTCTGATTCTGACCATGCCGGAACCTCCTCTGCTCAAAATCTCAAACTGTCTGTCCAGCTGTTCGACTCGACATATGCTCTAACCCTGATCACACCATGGGTACTTGGCCTTCTAACAATCACTGTGTCTATTCTGTCTCCTGCATGCTCTCACATTTCCTGTTTCTAACACGCAAACTTATAACAGGCACAAGCAAAACACACACACACACACACACGCACACGCACACACACACACACACACGCACACACACACACACGCACACACACACACACACACACACACACACACACACACACACACACACACACACACACACACACACACACACACACACACATTCACAGCATCTTCCAGATTAGGTCCCAACAGGGTGACACTGACTGTGTTTTCTCAATTCTGGCAGTGTGAATTGGCCTTAGAGCACAGGTTGTTATCATTATAAATAAAAGTATTAGCCTACATACTAATATAAAACTAATATGCTGAAATGCAACTGGTGATGTTACTATAGATAAAAATAATAATAATAATAATAATAATAATAATAATACAGTTTTCAATGATACAGTGTTCTTGATGTCATTTTCACAACTCTTGACACAAAAATCACACCAATTGCTTGGATACAATACACATAAAACTTAGATCATTTGTTCATTCAACAAAAATCACCAATTCGACACAACTTAACATCAAAGTAGTACTATTTCAAAAGGCAATTCTCACATTACATTTCAAATGAGTGTCTATTCATTTCCTTACTGATCTAACTATCAACTTATACAACTGCTCAAAATGATAAACAACTGTTGCATTACTCTTAAAGGAGCATTTCACCCATTGCAACATAAATCTTTATTGAAAGTGGATCATATACTGTATGTAGTCGAAATGTAAAAGAATTTTTTTAATTTGGTGCCCTCTTGACCGAGAAAAGACAGAAAATAACCAAGGGGCGCATATGTATGAATAGACTACAGGTCCCAGAATGCCCCACATTGTACAGCTCCGCAAGCCACACCCACTAATCCGGAACCGCGCAAACAGAGAATTCACTCTTCCGTCTACAAGGCTAACATTAGCTATCACCAGAGTTTGAAATTCATTTCACACATAATGTCTAGTTGGCTGTGGCGAGCAGGACGATCGAGGGCGAGGCACATAAGAGGACGGTCCCGCGTCTCTCACGGAGAAGCGAAAGCATAAAACGGGGAGCGACGACGGCAGATCGAGAGAGAAACAGGACTGATTTTATGAAGTTTTGTTTCTGTTGTGTGTAACGTTACAGCAGTCATTAATGAGGGGCTGCTGGCTTTGGCTTATACTTTCGTTTTGTATTTGTTCATTTTACTATTAAAATATTTAAATGTTCGCCGGTTCCTGCCTCCTTCTTCCCACAACAACAAACCTCGTTCACGTTACATTGGCAAACTTTAAGTGAATTACTCCTCGTTTGTATTTATTTCTGTTTGGTGAATTACTGCATGCTACCTGGATGTTTAGTCAGGCGAAACTATCACAACACAAACGTCCATGTGCTCGTCTGATTCAGAGATTTCCTCCAGGAGAAATTGCCATCGTTGAAATTCTCTGCAGCAGACGGACTCTGTGTCCGTAGGCCGTAGCACGCAGCGAGAGTACAGGCAACAGCAATCCACCCAGCGCCAGAGTCAGTGCGGGGTCCTCGACCGCGACAGGCCGCCGCCTCGGCGTCTCCTGCTCCTCCATCAGCCTCAGGTGCTCTAAACTATAGGCTACTGCGGCTCGTAAAGATAGCCACGAACATCGGATTCGAGCAGCAGAACTTCAAAATCCTCTTCTTCCATATCATGTTTCTTCCGTCATTGTCATAACTTACTATCTCCACAGCACTTATTAGCTTAGCTTACAAACAAGATGGCAGATATTGATTTCAGTTTCTGCAAGTGAAGTCCCACCCACTGATCTGTAATAGGCTTGTAGGGTGAGTGGGTCCAACACCTTGGAATAATAATGAGCTAATGTATGTAGTTCTAAAGATTTTAATGAAATATGACTTCCTGCTTATCCTGACGCAAAATGACGATTTTTACACTTAAATCCTTATTTCTCCCATCTCAGAGGAAAATAAGGGAATAAACCATGACCATTCAAAAATATGACTGGGTTTCTAAATATACAAAGCTTAATGCAAATGGGTGAAGTGACCCTTTAATGCATAGTTGTGTGGAAACAGACACACAACCTTCCATGTTTACAGTAAATCGTGAAAGTTTCAAGATAACAAGATTCATTTTCACCAATTAGCGTGGAGCATGAAATTAGACTACAATATCCATGGATGTAGGTGCAAGTAAGGTGTAAATTTTCAAAACCCTTAGTACAAAAATCAAAACTGATCACTTTACAGTAACACAGCTAGTCATTCTTTCAAAACATGATCCCATGCTTCCATTACAGTTATCCATTTTTCAGTCCACATAATCATTGTTTCAAAAGCAAGATTATTGTTGTATGTAATGAGAAAATTTGGTTTAATCCCCGAAACACAACAGTATGAGCTTCTTTCTACTTTTACTTTACTTGTACTTTTAACAGTCAGTTCATCCAAAAGCAAAGAATGCAAAATACAGGTTTCAAATCGGCCTTAGAAGTGCTGAAATTAATATGCTAAAAAACTATAAAAGACAGATTAGAGATTACACAGTTTTCACATTAGGCAATACACTTACATAACCCAACATTTACATAATCTATAATTTTCAAAATATCCATATGTGTAATCAAGTGAAGGATCAATGAAGACATCCTCTATAATCAGGGCAAATTACTGTAGTTTTTATTTTTCAGATATAATTGTAACGTAGGTATACTTTCTATCCACAAGTTTCCTACGCCCCATGAGGCCTTGCGTCAAAAGTGGGCACGTCTTCCGGTTAGAAGTAAACAAAGCGCAACTTGACATGCTTGACACTCATTCATTCAACAGTTGATAGTCATTCAAGTTATAGCGATCCAAACTAGCTAACGATGTGGAAACACAACCTCAACGAAATTAAAAAGGGTGAAATAACGTCTCGGTTTCGGATGTAACCCTCGTTCCCTGAGTAGGGAACGGAGACGTTACGTCGGAAGTGACGGAGAATGGGGGTTTCGCATAGAAAGCCAATCCTCTTCGAGTATTTAACAATGAGCCAATGGCATGAAATGCCTTGGGGCTGCGGAATTTGCATAGCGTAACTCCGCCCCACCCTGTGGGTATAAAAGGAGGAAGTGAACGCAACCGCAGTATGTCTTCGCTGAGGAGCCAAGACTGAACTCCTGCGTCTTCCCAGCGGTACAGCAGAAGTGGCAGGGAGACGTAACGTCTCCGTTCCCTACTCAGGGAATGAGGGTTACATCCGTAACCGAGACGTTCCCTTTCGTAGTCACTTCGAGTTACGTCAGAAGTGACGGAGAATGGGGGTCAGTGCCATCACGCCATCTTCAAGCTGTCTTCCAGTGCCCTGCGAAAGTCTGGACCCCTGAACATAGCTTAAACCAGGGATCCTACTTTGACACAGAAATACCAAGGTACACTGGGAAACATGGAATGAGCCGTCACACCAAGGGGGCACGGACGGCCTTGCTGCTGGTAAGACAAAGCAATGGCGTCCACTAACCAGTGAGACAGCCGTTGCTTTGAGAGAGCCCTTCCCTTCTGGCTCCCCCCATGACAGACAAGAGGTCCTGAACACCGCGTTCTGTCGACGTAGGTGCGGAGTGCACGTACTGGACAGAGCAGTGCAAGGCTGGGACTGCCTCCTCCAGGGGCAGCGCTCGCAGGTTCACCACCTGGTCCCGGAAGGGAGTGGTAGGAACCTTGGGCATATATCCAGGCCGGGGTCTCAAGAACACGTGAGAGTAAGCCGGCCCAAACTCCAGGCACGCTTCGTCAACGGAGAGTGCGTGCAGGTCCCTTACTCTCCTGATGGAGGCAAATGCAATCAGGAGTGCTGTCTACATAGGACAGGGCTAAAACTCTACCGACTGCAAAGGCTCCAGGGGAGGCCTCTGCAGAGCACTTAGAATTGTATTCTGCTTAGATAACCCTTGATGGACCAGGCTTTGAGGTTCTTGATGC